TTATGAAATTAAATGCATTTTTTTTTTCTACCAAATAACCGATAAATACATAAATCAATTAGTATTGATGAAGCTGGACCAAAGAGTTCCATACTAAAATGGAAAGATTTCCAATGAAATAAAATAAAAATATTCGTTGATTATACTAAGAAAAATAATGTTAGTGACGAAACAAAATTTGGGATTTGGTTTGAGATCCGAATCCAATGAATGATGAAAGGATATCAAATTCCGTTTCTCTGACTCCCAAAATGGCTCTCTGCAAACTGCAATGCCAAACTTTCAAACTCCTCATCATGTTTGGTGCATTCATTACTTTTATTTATATAAAAATCATAAATCATAGCTCTATTGTTCTTCCTTCACATTAATCATTTGGTTTCTGTATTCTTTGAGCAAATCAATCACAGTTTTGAAGCTCAAAATATCACAATGTTGCTTGTTGAAAATTGACCACATTTTTCTATCTAGTAAAAACTTTACAAATTGACATTTTTTTTCCGATATGATCCAATTATTATCTATATCATTATTATATATAACTTGTCATTTTCCCCATGAGTTCCATAATTTGAAATTACCTGTTCTTCCCCATTCCTCTTTATTATATGTAGAAAATAGCGTGTGGATAATTATAAGAGAAAATAAACAGATAACGCCAACTTACTTAAATTGTTTGCAAATTTGTTAAACGAATATTGCATATTCATATTGTTTCAGTTTTATTACATGTTTTTTCTACCAAAAACAATTCTACTCAATCTAGATGAAAATCTTTTTTATAAAAGAATTTAACATAATTATATATTCAAAACTCAACTTCTAATACCTTTGACTAAATTGAAACAAGTTTTTATCAATTAATTTACACACTAGTAATACTGCATACATTCTAATATCATGATTCTAAAAGAAAAATAATATTATATTTTTTTCAAAAAAAATTACATCATTAATTGAAAAAAAATTTATCTTTAATATAAATTTTAAAATAATTATTATAAAAATCAACAAATTAGATACATTTAAAAATCAACAAATTTTAAAAGAGATTTACATCATTAATCTCTTGTATCCATTTTTTTTAATACATTTATCCCTTAATATCATCACATGTTTTATAATTTGGTTTGAAAAATGTATAAAATCATTCACTCTTTGTATTGAAAAACAATACTCATTATTACTATTCTATGCAGTTATCCATTCTCAACTCTTAATATATATATATATATTTTTCACCTGAAATCCCTGAAAATAAATATACAAGTGCAGGAAGAAGCTTCTCTTTCCTATGCTAATATTTATAAAAGAAGAAGAAGAAACCATACATAAACATTAAACTGCAGACCACTTTAACTTTTCCTAATAACTCTGGCAAAAGTTTGCTCATATAAACCAAAAGGAAAAGTCACCTTCCTACTTCCTCATTGCTCGTCAAGGGGATAAGAATATTTTAATAAGAATGATTTGATGGAGCTTAATCATTAAGTTAGGATATTATTAAACGTTTTCTTTCACGTAAACATGCGAAAATAGCCCATTATAATTATAGAACTTACATTATGCGCCCCTAGAATTAGAAAGAAAATAAAAATTCAAAGAAATAGTGAAATTCTAGTACTTTGGAGCCTACGGGTGGAAATATGTCTAAATGTAGCTTTAATTATATAACCCATTTTAATTTTATAATTGTAAAGTGATACAAAAAGTTACATGGAATACATGACGATTTTTTTTATGTGTGATAATCATGATTCATCATAATTATAAACATTGAAAATGATGAAAATTTGTTTGATTAATGATAAATATTTTTAAATATATTTATTAATATATATTACTTAGAATAAAAAAATTTACTATACTAAATAATAAGTAAATAAAACTAACGTTTTCATTGTATTAAAACTTTAATTTTATCTTTAAAAAATTATTTTTTTTATCCCTAATTTTATAAGAAATTTAGGCAAAAATTATTCTAAAAAAATAATATTTTTTTGTTATCTTTTAAATAACAAAACAAATGTGAAAAATTAAGATTCTCAATCTCAAATTGTTGAGAAAGTAAAATCTTTTGGTGTATTAAATACCCTCCTACATTCAAACTCTATATAATAAATTTTATAATAAGTAAATATTTATACATATTTTGTTTAACTTAATTGAATTTATCCGGTGACAGGGGATTTGAGTTGTTTTCATAAAATTTTAAGAAAATTCATTGCTATTATTGTATACTATTAAACATAATAAAAATATATATTTAAATATGTAAATTATAATTTAGAATCACAAACCAATCAAAAATACTTTAATCAATTAAATTCGTAGTTGACATGCAATTCAAGATTAAAGTTTCACTGCTTTTTAGATCAAAGACTAATTTGGTTTGTAAAATTATAATTGTTTATGATCTAAAAAAAATGTATATATGACAAAAATTGAACACAAAATTTATCATTAAATAAATTATTTTTACAACATGTGAGGATAATATATTTAATAGTATAACAACCCACCATACTAAAGCTACACTATTTTATGAATGAGTTAAAAAAAACTTGTTTATTGAAATAAATATCATTTTAATAAAATATACAATGTGTTTAAATTATTGTTAAAAAGTGTTAAATTAAGTTGAATTTAACTTTTTAAAATCAACTTTTTTTATAAAAAAAAAGCAAGAACTATCTAGTTTTTGATTCAATTGACATTGGCTTGTAATTCACACTCAACTGAATGAAATAATTTTTTTGTCAAACATGTAGGCATAACATTTAAAATTTAAAGGTATAATTTATAAGTTTCAAACGTGTAACTAAATATGTGGATTGTTAATTATCCTGAATTTTCTTTAGTTTGGTGTAAATTATTCACTGGTTTCCGAAGGAAGTTTTTTTTTATAATATGTATATGATTTCATAAATTTTAATGCAAAACTATTAAAATTTCATTCATTCATTCAGTAATCTTTCATTGATCTCAAGATTGATTAATTTTTCTTATAATTTTAAACGAAATTCAGGGATACTATTCGTTTACAAGAAGAGAGGACAGAAATATATATGAAGTGTGAATAAAATATAAATATTGATTTCAGTGCAGAAAAAAAAATGTATAATGGTGATATTATCCACATCTTAGATACCTCTCATTGTAAGGAATAAATTAATAATAGCGACCACCAAAATAACAACGTCTATTCTATTGCAACAAAATGAACGGCAATAGTATGTACAATGCGACAACACGCAAAATAAACTTGTATGACACTTTTTTTTTTATGCTTAAATTCGTGATTCTTATCATTCCATCAATTTTTAAATATTTGATATTTATATTTTACAAAATCTATAATCTTTGTATTTTAAAAATAAAATAACTAGTTACTTACTAATAACTATTATGATTTTATTAGTTTCGATCAAATTATAAGAGTTTAATTACAAATTTAAATGAGCTTTAAAAAATATTTTAACAAATAACATAATATACATTTATAATTAGTTTAACTTTCAAAACAAATGTTTTGGGTGACCATAATAAAGACACCCTAACCCCAATAATAGATATCAAAAGGAGAAAGTTAATAATATAAGACATAATTTTAAATGATATTCATCATGTCGAGAATATATCATCATTCAACCCAATTGTTCTCGATGATAAAATCTATCGCTTTTAAATTAAGATGACAAAGTAATGTCAAATCATTACATAATAATTAAAAATTTTAAATGTTCTTTATTATTTTCTCAAGAATTATAACAAATCTTCTACTATTTATATTATTGCATTTCGTTTCGTCCTTAAAACACAAGATCAATCTTAGAAATTACACATACCTTTGAACAGATTACTTGAGATAAACTATGTAATGTAATTAGCTATTTTATTTTGATATATATCAAATATTTTCTTGCTTATCAAATATTTATTTTTATAATTGAACACAAGTAAATATAACCGGCCGGAACGGTTGTTAAGAAATAAGTTGAAAAACCTATAAGAATCTTCATAATAATTAAACCACGAAATGTATACGTCATACATGTATATCAGAAAGATGACAAAATACATAAATACACCATAGATGATAGATCTTTCCGGTATCCTCCATCTAGTTTCGTTTTGAAGGTCCATAATTTAAAGTATGAGATAGATATAGAAAAAGAAAGAGAAAGAGACATGTGATGAATTCGATTTAGACGTCAATTTTTATGAAATGGTATTTTAATATTGTTTATAAGTATTATGTTTTATTAATATTGTTATTGCGTTGAGAGTTATGAAGTACATTAAACCTATAAAACTTCATATAATTTAGAAACTAGTTTATATTTCATTTTGTGACTTTAATTTAATGTATAATATAATATTTAAATTATAAGTTAATTTTACAATTATGTTATACATTTAAAAATAATTAAATTATATATAAAGAGAAAAATCAAATAATATCGGTATAATTTTTATCAATTATTACAATACTTTATAATTTTATTAAAATTCAACATATATCACAAGTTATTGAGTAAAATATTTGAAATTATTTGATCATCTCCTCTCTATATAGAGAAAACTTTTATTACTTATTTAAATTAAAAGTATTGTTTTATCCCTTATAACAACTGATCTAAAATGTCTTTTTTATAATAATAAAATAAGACCTTATAATTATTTTTTTTGCAAAAAAACATCTTAAATTAAAATCATTTCTCTCATTTCAATGAACAATTGATGGAAGAAATATCTCATTAACGTTAGAGGTAATTTTAAAAAGAAAATATATAAATTTAAGACATTTAATGTTAGAAATTAACCAACTTTAATACACATTTATATTTTAATGCTAATCATTCAATACAATCTAATATTTTTTTTAATATATATATTTATCTCGATGACGAGTTCTCACTTTGATTACACTAAATATGTATCATCCGTAAGGGACGTGCACACTAAACCGCCAGAGGAACGAGGTAAAACATACAACCTCTCGCAAAAACATTTGAATTTGAAGGCTCCTCGGCTTTTGAATGCGACTTAAATTAGTTACAAAAGTAGAAAGAGAAAACGAGAAGAGGATGACTTAAATGTAATAGCACAAAATTTGACGTGGGTATGGTAGTAAATAGCCACAATAAAATGAATTAACGTAAACCAACCCAGATTGTGTGCCTATGATACATTACAGGTTAGGTTCAGCCAGACATGTAAATATCATGATGAGGGTGTAACAGATCTGGTGTTCCGTCCAACGCCAAGACCTAAGCCCAAGGGAACATTGTCATTTCTGGTTTTGCCGTGGTTATTATTATGGCTACAATGTGAAGAATGAACATGACCATTAATGTGACCATGATGAGTTTTGGAGTTGGTACTGTTGGAATTCACATTAATAACATAATGGCCATTTCCATTGCCCCTTGCATATTCAGAATGAGTATGCGAGTCTCCATTTGCTATGTTCGAGCCCCTTGCCATGTGCATCATTCCGATACCCTCCTCTGACTGACCTAATTCTTCAACGCTCTCAACATCTTCATTGTAACCATGGATTAAGAAATCAGAACAGTTCTTCTTGATACCATGATCATATGGGTTTCTGAATCTACCACCTGGACCTCTAAGGTAACTATACCGCATTGCATTTGCCATCTCGTTTGTTGTAATATTGCGTGATATCTGACGAACAAAAGAAGTAGGAAAAAAAAAAACACGTGAGGAAAGAATTTTTTGTGCAAACCAAAACACTAAACCCTGAACCAAAATATATATTCCTAAGGCATACCTGACTAGCCTGCACAACTGTCAAAGCAAACACGCTGAAGAAGAGGAAAAAATCGGCTATTAGAAATGATATTGCACCAATGTGATTCTCACCAGCATACTGAATCCATACCCCAAATGAACGGGGAGCAAATGGGTCAGTTAATACTCCTGCACGCAGAAATTTAGTTTCTATCAGCATTCAGCAGTTTAAATTGCAGTAAAATGAATGATGTAACTATTGTCACAGCAGACACATACTTGTAAGACAAACTCCACCAGTAACCAACATTGCTGAAACTTCAAGAACAAGAAAAGCAAAGAAATCCCATTTGTTCTTCTGCAATCATAAAGCGAAACAAAATCACGTCAAATCAGATTAGTTCAACCAAAAGAAAGAATAATTACTTGATCAAAAATAAGCATAATGAAAAAACACATAGCAGTGAGTAAGATTAGTGACCATCATCACAACTCTAGTCACAAAGTGAGACAAGATATGTCCAACCTATCCAACAAATACTATTTACTGAATATAAATGGCATATTTTAATTTTTATGAACAAACTTGAAATATAATCTTAGACAAGTAGAAATTTATTTGTAGCTATAACACAGATTTAAACTAAACTATTAATCACAAGCAGATCAACCCAAACTGTTGGCATTAAGAGGTGCTTTTATTAATACATGGCATGCCGCCTGCTTGAAGTTCATGAGGTGAGATGCTCCATACATAGGGAGGCCAGAGGATAACAAAATGTCCTAGATTAATATCCCCACTCTCTTTTTCTCTTAAATTAAATGATAAAAATTGAAAATCTTAAACTATTCAATTAACAGTCAAATGCAAAGCATGCAAGACAAAAACATTTCAGAAGTACCTTGCCGATGCAATTGGATACCCAAGGACAATGATGATCAAATTGTTCCACACAACGATCACAGGTAGAACAGTGTTTAGCTCGAAGAGGCCTGACAATCTAAATAAAAGGCAAGATGAAATTGTGTACAAAACAATTCAAAGCAAAAGAAAGATGGGCACGTGTAATCTATGTATGCAAGACATTAATTGGCTTCACAGCAACAAAGACAATCAAAAGAAAGCAGAGAGAACCTTGCATGTTGCACAAAGCTGGGACCAATTTCCAGCTAGCAAAGCAGGATTATTTATCTCAATCTTCAAGAGAGGCTCCTGCCATAATCATTCAATATTTTGAAATCAATGCCATATACAATGCAAACGGAAATAACAATTATAAAATCCCAGGGAAGGGGGTTGCTGATAATCAAAGTAGAGATTAGGTGGCAAAACAAAACTCACATCATCTTTCATATCTTGAGAGTCATGCATATTCATTCTGATATAACCAGGATCCTTGCTGTCAAGAGAAGGGAGAGAGACTAAGAAAACAAAACAACATAATATAATAAAACAAAACAATATAATAAAACAAACAAAAAGTGTTTTCATAGAATATGGCAGGTATCTAGAAAAAAACTAGATATTCTCTGGATCAGCAACTGAAAATGAAATATGATAGACACTGTATGTCTATTTGTGGGTTGTATATTTATTACATATTGACCACCATAAATTACAAACCAATGCCTATTTCAAGTGAGTGCCATTGATTTGTTATCTCGAAAACTCAAGCACAAAGGTTAAGAAAGGAATTGTTGAATCCAAGACATCAAACAATAATTACATGAAATATTTCCACTATACTGTACAAGGAAGCTACTCAAATCAGAACATACACCAAGAAGCAGGCATCAGTGGATTGTATTACTATAAATACACAGATTCCAGTCGTACTTGTGAGACTCAATAACTCATAACCATATCATCTAGCTATCCTAAGGGTAGCTAGCAGGAAATGAGATTTTTAAATTAGACTTGGATGTACCAAACAATAACACATAATAGTCTTTAGTAATCTGGAAAAAACAGCAAAGAAAGCCTGTTCCCAGTTGCACAGGTCTGCTACATGGTTCAAATGATGTCATCATGTTTTGTTGAAAATCATGTATTTAGTAGTGTATATGTATTTAGTAGTGTATAGACAATCTATTGACATAATATTTTGTTAGGTTTTGCCAGTGGTTTTTCTTGATCTCTAGCATTAAGCTACCCTTTATCTAATCTATTTTCCTTACTAGGGCTTTCTACAAGTCTTCTCCACAAATATCAAAGCCACGTAAGGAAATATTTTATTCATTACCAATCCTATCTTACCTGGTATGCCCATTCATCCAATGCAACATTACAATCTCTATCACATTGAAATTATTCTTTTGTGTTGTTACCACCCAATATTCAACTGCATACAACATTAAAGTCTTATAGTTGTGATAATATTTTTATTTTCCTTTGAACTTTATAGTACTTGTACCTTAATATCACAGATAACACCCAAAACACTCCTCCATTTCATCCATCTCACTCAAATCTTATGGTTTACACTTTACATCACCCACTGTTTCTCCTCTAGACAACTCGAATAGAAAAGCGAATTAGTACCACCAGAACAATTGAATAATACATTGTGTAAACTTACATACGGCTACAGAACAAGAGTTGCACAGTTCAAACCACCAAAAATCCACATCCACCAATTTAAAAATCGCATCATATCATTCAAAACTCCCATAGAGATTTTACATAGCAGCTCTAAAAATCCTAGAAAAGTCTCTTGAACCCATAAAAGATTAATCAAGGTCATATCTAGTTATCAGAAAATAACATGAAGTCCTTATACATATAATGGCCTAGATGGTATTCTTGAGAAGTTGTAAAAAAGTCCACATCACTTACCTGCTACACCTGTAAAACATCACCAAACCAGCAGTTGCAAGAAAAACTCCAAACCATGCAAGAAGGCCAGCTGCAGCTGTCAACTTTGGCATTTTTGTTGCTGCAGGAGAAAAAAAGTAACAGAAAAGATACAAATCATAGTGAGACAACCATCAAATAAAGGGTTAAATATGCATGCATGTGCTCACATGCACAAATAATTGATTCCATGTGCGGAAGCAAAGATAGATACCCAAGATGACCGAATGAATATAGGTAGCCAAGAGCACAAAAATTATGCACCAAAGGACAGGAGCAAGTCCTAATTTGGAAATCCTTCCAAGGCGGCTGTTCCCGTCACAGCGTTTGTCAAGCAGCCTTCGGGCATTTCCCTACAACATATCCATAAGTGGTC